GTGATTTTGATCCCCAGGTAATATTTAACAATGTCTGGAAATGTTTCTGGCTGTTACACTTGTGGGGGCTGGGGGGTATGCTATTATCATCCAATGGGTAGCAGCCGGGGATGCTGCTAAACATCCTACTCTGCTCAGGACAGTCCTTCAACAAGGAGTTCCCCATCCCATTTGTTGAAAGTGCCATGGTTGAGAAACTTTGGTCTAATGAAAGTGTCAGAAACATATACAGACACCAACAGCACAGCAGGTCAGTATGGGGGCTGTGGCGTCCCGAGGAGGTACATAGACCATCTGGTGGTGAAATGTCAGATAAGGCTTCCCAGGGAAGAAACTCCCCTGCAGGGGGTTTGGAAAGAGCATGTATGGAAGGGAGCAGGACACATGGGACCAAGGAACAACTGCAGTCCTGCAGTGCACAGAGCCCAGAGAGAGAAGGGAGAGGAGTTCCAGGCTAGAGCCAGGGAAGCCCTGCAGGCTGTGTTAAGGAGGGAGACTTCATCCAGCTAGGAGTGGGAAGGCACTGTGGGCTGCTAAGCAGGGGAGGGGTGTAGGCAGATGCCTGCTTTAGAAGGCGCCTCCTCCTAGGGATACAGGAAACCTCAGGCACTGCTGGTGAGATGGTAAATTTGCGCAGCTCTTCTGCAATCTGTAGACATCTGTCATTATTCGGTCACTTCAGTCTTACTAAGTTCATGCATACCCACGACTGAGCAGTTCCACTTGTAGATACATAGCTCGGGGGAATCTTCCACAGGTCCATAAAGAGAGATGCACGAGGAAGTTGATCAGTGTTCTTTGTGGTGGTGGGGAAAGGAGGCAGCCTGGGTATCCGTCCCTTGGGAGAAGATGTGTGCCGCGGGGCCCTGCACAGCAGTTAGGGGCTGCTAGATGGGACCTAAAACCCAGTGCTGAGGGGAAAAAGTGTATCAAGGATGTATACACAAAAGTTGACCAGGCGCGGTGGCTTACTCCTGTAATCCCAGCACTTTGGGAGGCTGAAGCAGGTGGATCACCTGAGTCAGGAGTTTGAGACCAGCCTGACAAACATGGTTAAACACCATCTCTATTAGAAATACAACATTAGCCAGGCGTGGTGGCACATACCTGTAATCCCAGCTACTTGGGAGGCTGAGGCAGGAGAATTGCTTGAACCTGGGAGGCGGAGGTTGCAGTGAGCCAAGATTGTGCCATTGGACTCCAGCCTGGGCAACAAGAGTGAAACTCTGTCTAAAATATATATATACACATACACACACACACACACACACACACACAAGAATTCACATTTTGCAAGAACACTTAGAAACTGAGAAGACACAGTAAACACACTAGAGGCCAGGTATGGTGGTTCATGCCTATAATTCCAACACTTTGGGAGGCCGAGGCGGGAGGATCGCTTGAGACCAGGAGTTCAAGACCAGCCTGAGGCAACACAGTGAGACCTCCATCTCTATAAAACAAAACAAAACAAATGCTAATAAAACATGCTAGAATGATTGATTAGAGTAAGGAGGAGGGCTTTGGGGCATAAAAGGGAGTAAACAAAAAAGGAAGCAGAAGAAGCTCACTATGTCGTGGAGTGAAAGGACTGGATGGCAGTGTGGACAAGAGCACCATCAGGGAGACTTAGCCAGAAACTGCTGAGGGAACAGTGGCTGGACCTTGCAGCATAAAATGGAGAGGATGGCCAGGCCTGCAGGAGACTGAGGAAGGGGACTTTCAGAGCCTAGTAATTGACAGAATGGAGGAGGGAGGAGGGAGAGGGAGGCGCTGAGTGTGGCACCCAGGTTTCTGGGTGGATGACTGAGCCAATGGAGCCCACATCGAGTGGTGAACCCAGGACCAGGAGCAGGCTGTGGGGCAGGGGATGAGTTCAATTTGGACATAGTAAGCTTAAGGGACTGTGCAGCAAGCTACTGGAGATATCCACAGGGCCGCTGGCTGCTGCTGTGGTCTGAACACTGTGTCCCCCCCAAATTCATATGAAATCCGAACCCCCAAGGTCATTATATTAGGAGGTGGGGGCCTTTGAGAGTTGATTAGGGATTAGTGAATGGGATTAGTGCCCTTATGAAAGAGCCTTCACAGAGCTCCCTCACCACTCACACTATGGGAGGACACTGAAAAGATGGCATCTGTGAACCAGAAAGCAGGCCCTCACCAGACACCAAATCTGCCAGGCCTTGATCTTGGACTTCCCAGCCTCCACAACTGGGAGAAATAAATGTTTGCTGTTTACACACCACAGAGTTGATGGTATTCCATTATAGCAGCCTGAACAGACTATGGCGGCCACAAAGGGACACGGATGGAGCTCAGTTGAGGGACCTGAGACGGAAGCAGATTTGGGATTCATCTGTGTGTAGGGGCTGGGGTACAATTTCCCTGGGAGAGTATGTAGAGTGAGACATCAGCCTGTGGAGCACCTAACTTAAGCTCCTGTTGGGGGTTAGGAGCCCATGATATTGACCACACAATCATCTTCTAATAAATGGTAGCACAGGCCATTGGTATTCTGGGACTGGGAGAGAGCGTAGGAAACGGGGGAGATTCATTTGCGCAATCCTTCCCATCAGGGAGAATGTTCCCAAACATTGCCTCCTTGGAGTCTTACAGTAGCCCTGTGGATTATGGGGAAGGCAGACTGGCTTTATTGCCCACATTCCACAGATGAGGACACAGCTTAAACAGGGATGGGCCTTGCCCAAGGTCCTGCAAGGGAACTAATGGAAGTGTAGGTCCCAAAGATCTCAAGACTCCTATACCTGAATCCTTTCCACCCAGAACCACTTCTGCTTTCAGGGGCTAGGACCCAGGTCTAGGGTGGCCCTGACAGATGACAGCTGCTATATTTTGGGTCTGGGTGGCCCCTAAGCACAGCAAAGGCTGATTGACTCAATTATCGGCCAAGACCCCTAATTAGTTTTGAGTTGGAAGGTTCAGAGTGTGCTGGGCAAGTTACTTCGCTTCTCTTAGCTTCCCCTATTGTTACCTGTAAAATGGGTTCATACCTCACAGTGTTCTTACAGGAATCAAATGAAAAAAAAAAAAAAATGAAAGCAAAAAGACTCTGTAGGCTCTGGACTCCATAAAGGAAAAGATGATGAAGAGGAGAATAAAGGAGGAAACCAGGGTTAGGGAGCAGGGCTGGAAGAGGAAGTGTGGAAAAGGAGTTTGGATTTGGAGGAAAGGGAGCACTAGGACCAGGTGTTCTGCTGGGTGTGGGAGAATCTGAAGGGAAAAGATAAAGTCCCGGCACTGGAAGGCTCATGGTCCCCATGCACCACCCTTAGCCCTGCTGTCTCCATCCCCGTATCAAAGAATAACCACCCTGCCAACCCCACTGCTGGGCTTCAGATCTCTCCCTTCCCTTGGTCTCTTATCAGCATCCTCCTTGTCAATCTCCTAACCAACCTCCCCCATCAGTGCTTCACCTGGCAGCCCAGGCCTTCCTAAGACAAATGTGCTCACGGCCCTTGGTCCTTTTAGGTGTTTTCAGCGGCTCATTATCCTCTGCAGGACCAAGGCTAGTAAGGTAGGCAGGCCTTCTGGCCCCTACCCACTTGCCTGCCACACCTCTTTTTTTTTTTTTTTTGAGGTAGAGTCTTGGTCTGTTGCCCAGACTGGAGTGCAGTGGTGTGATCTCGGCTCACTGCAACCTCCGCCTCCCAGATTCAAGCGATTCTCCTGCCCCACCCTCCCCAGTAGCTGGGACTACAGGTGCATGCCACCATGCCCGGCTAATTTTTTGTATTTTTAGTAGAGACAGGGTTTCACTGTGTTAGCTAGGATGGTCTCGATCTCCTGACCTCATGAACTGCCCGCCTCGACCTCCCAAAGTGCTGGGATTACAGGCATGAGCCACCGGCCACACCTCTTAACACTTGCAGTACCCAGCATGGTGGGCCGGTACACACCTCCACGCTTCTCTCCACATGTGAGCTCCCACTGCCTAAAACGCTGAGTCCTCTACCCATCTGCAGAGACCTTCCTCAGCTCTGATCTCAGCTATGCGTCACCTTGAATCCCACCCCTCTGAGCCTTCACTGAGCAGACCTGTGACCCAAGGCCAGTTTAGATTGGTGTGCTTCCTGTCTGCTTTTCATTTCAGACCAGGCTAGGAGCTTCCCAAGGCTGTAGCCCCGGGGAACTTCAGCCATTTGCTGGACGGTAGGGCAGCTGCAGGAAGCCACAGGGGCTGCCTAACCAGGCCTGCAGCACCTGGACTGGACACCCTGTTTCTGTCTGAGCTGTGGGAGTTAGGGGTGGCTAAGCTCAGAGACAGAGGTCTAGTCAGACTCTCCTTTCCTCGAAACTCTCCAAAAGGTCCCATCCCACTCTGAGGAAATGGCCAGATCCTCATAGTTACAGCCCCTTTGTCCTCCCACTTCATCATCTCCTTGTTCCCTTCCTCACTCTGCTTCAGCTCCACTGGCCTCCTTGCTGTTTCCCAAGCACAGAAGACCCTCCTTCATCAGGGTTCCGGCCTGTTCCCTGTTCCCTCTATGGGAATGCCTTTCCCAGACCCCTCCTGGTCACTCCCAGGCCTCTGGCAGAATGTCTACCCACCCTGTTTAAAACTTTTCCCCAGTAGCTCTTGCTACCCCTGACAAACTCTTACATCTCAACTGTCTATTGTCCTTTCCTCCCCACTGCCTTAGCAACTCCTAGAGGGCAGGGATTTCATCCGCTCTGCCCACCACTATATAGCCAGCCACTAGAACAGGCCGGAAGCGCAGAAAGAGCTAAATAAGTATGTGTTGACTGACTGACGAACAAATGAATGACGTGAGATGGGGGCTTTGGGGATTCGGGCTGACGCACCACCCCAAAAGCATTCGGGGCAGGAGAGGCCAGGCACCGCCGAGGAGGGCGGGCCGGGGGAGGAGCGTATTGGCTACGCCTGGTCACGCTCCCAGGCCGGCGGAACCCAAGGCGCGCGGGCATGCGTCGCCGGGAGGATTGAGGAAAGGGCACTCGCGCCGCCGGAAGGGGTGCTCGCTTCAAGGCGCCGGGACCCGGGCTGGAAGCAGGGTATCAGCTATGGAGCAACCTGGGCAGAATCCCACCTCGGACGACGTCATGGACTCCTTCCTGGAAAAGTTCCAGAGCCAGCCTTACCGTGGGGGCTTTCATGAGGACCAGTGGGAGGAGGTGGGCTGTCCTGGGGTCTCCGCATGTGTGTAGGGGCGTGGGGCACGGACTCGTGGGGCACCCGGGTTTTGGGGCGCCTCCCTCAATTCCAGATCCCTGGCGCTGCCAGCTGATGGCTGGTTTCTAGTTGAGTATTGAAAATCGGCTTCGAGGTTTTGAGTTGCTTCTTAAGCTGTCAGTACATTTGAGAACCTAGGTCTTGGAGTCAGGCCTGTGACTCCACCACTTACTGGCTCTGATATGGGTCAGTTACTTAACTTCTCTGAACCCGTTTCCTCATCTGTAAAACTGCCCGAACTATATCACCAATAGCAAAGATGAAATGAGACAGTTGGTAAAGTGTCAAGACCATAAGGGCGTTCAATTAATGGTAATTCCTGCCGCTCTTGTAGAATATGAGAACTAAAACAATCATTAGAGACCATTACACCACACTCCCATTTTACAGAAGGGAAGCGGAGGCCTGAATGGATACAGCTAGCTGTGATGATTTGCAAATCATGATGAGTAAAAAAACTTTGATAATGAGTCATGGAATTGGATCTGCTCAGTAGAAAAGCTTATTCATGTAGTTCATTCTTAACCATTTCCAGGAATTTGAAAAGGTCCCCCTATTTATGAAGAGAGCGCCATCAGAAATTGATCCCAGGGAGAATCCTGACTTGGCTTGTCTCCAGTCAATTATTTTTGATGAGGAGCGTTCTCCAGAAGGTATCTTAACATGACTAATACTTGTTTTGTGTTTCCACTGAATTAAGTGTGGGTTAGAAGGGTTCTGATTGATAACAAGAAGTTAGCCTGAGCTAACTTGTCATTATTCATTCCAACATACTTCTTTGTGTACCTACTAAGTGGTAGGAATTGGGGATACAGGGATGAGTAAGACACAATTCCACTCTCCAAGGTCAGGCTCAGTGAGAAGCCTATTGTCTTAAAGAATCAAGACAAACTTGTGTTATAAGTGTCAAATGTAGGTGTATACTACAGCGGTAGCGGGTCCTGTTGGAACACTTTAAGGAGCAGGAGTGGATTCACAATAGATAGGAAATTTGAGCTGAATCTTTGTAATTTTGTAGGCTTTTGCTAGGGTGAGGAGGGGAATTTGCACTCCACAGAATAAAAAACATAAGCAAAAGCAGAAGTATAATCAATCCCCCTGTCCCTCACTGATTTCTTCAGTGATTAAAAAAGAATTCTTTTCTTCAGTAGCTAGGATGAGTATACTTTTTTCCTTTATGCTTCTTTTTTTGGAAAACAGTAATCTACCTTGTAAGATATTTGGAATTAGCATTAAATTTGTGTGACTTTGTCCATGTTGATACCCACTTTTATCGTAACATTGAGTTTCCTTTCCCTATTGGTTTATTTCCTTCGGTGTATCATATAGTACATTATTGCGTGATTTAGAATCTATTTTTAATGAGCCTTTTAAAAGTAGGCAATAGTGATTATTTTTCCTCTTCTTTGCAGAACAGGCCAAGACCTATAAAGATGAGGGCAATGATTACTTTAAAGAAAAAGACTACAAGAAAGCTGTAATTTCGTACACTGAAGGATTAAAGAAGAAATGTGCAGATCCTGATTTGAATGCTGTCCTTTATACCAACCGGGCAGCAGCACAGTACTATCTGGGTAATTTATAAGTGCTTTCTGAAGAATAAACTTATGATACAAGCCATTATGATGGTTAGTGGAGGTTTGAGAACATCAGAGGATGAGGGGCTGTTATCACAGAAACCTAGACTAAGGATAGTTTATTCTGATTGAATTCTGTTCTTCCAAGTTTACATGATAAAAAGAGAAACAGAATGGATTGTGTAATTCTTACTATCTGAACCCAAAAAGTGACTTGGTCACTCTAGTAAGGTGTTTGATGTATGAGTCAGTATGTTCTGAGATTTTTGAGCCCAAGGGCTTCTACTCTCTCAAAAAATGTGTGTTTCTGCCTTTTATCCTCTTTTCAAGGATGCTAGCAGGATTAAGGCAGTAGAGATCTTTAGGTGAGAGAAGCCATTTTAATCTAAGGGAGAATATCTCAGAGTGTTCTGTGGGAGGTAAAAATATTTTTTGGTTGGGTGCAGTGGCTCACACTTGTAATCCAAGCACTTTGGGAGGCTGAGGTCAGGAGTTCAAGACCAACCTGGGCAACACAGTGAGATCCTGTCTCTACAAAAAAGTTAACTGGGCATAGTGGTGCCTGCCTGTAGTCCTAGCTACTTGGGAGGCTGAGGCAGGAGGTTCGCTCAAGGTTGCAGGGAGCCATAATCATGCCACTCCGTTCCACCCTGGGTGACAAAGCGAGACCCTGTTTCTAAAAAGTTGCTTGGATGAGGAATTTTAACTCTTTTATTTATTTATTCATATTTTTTACTGTATTACATTTTTTTTGTAGAGACAGGGTTTTTCCATGTTGCCTGGGCTGGTCTCGAACTCAGGCTCAAGTGATCCATCCGCCTCAGTCTCCTAAAGTATTGGAATTACAGATGTGAGCCACCAGTAATTCTGGTGGATGAGGAAGTTTGGAGGAGGATGAGGAAGTTTGGAAAATGCTGCTGCTTAGAGATTTGCAGTACACATTAACATGTTAAAGACACTGAGATAGCCTGCAAGAAAATAAATTTACCCTGGGTTTCTCAAATTTTGTAAGCTTCCTCTTCAGTTAACACTAACCTCATGCAGGTTCTATAGTGTTAAATTTGGGAAATGATTATTTAAGTAGTATTGCTGGTGACTAGCCTTGGTTATGTTAGACCTGTGGGTTTTTTCTTTTTTTTTTTTAATTATTTTTTTAAATTGAGACAGGGGTCTTGCTATGTTGCTCAGGCTGGCCTTGAACTGCTGAGCTCAAGCGATCCACCTGCCTTGGTCTGCCAAAGTGCTGGTAATACAGGCTTGAGCCACTGCACCCAGCTTAGACCTGTGTTTGTTATCACAGAATTTAGAGAGGACCTAGGACTCTGGGGCTGGTGTGCTGAAATTTCATAACATTGTGCCTTGTGTTGGGTACTCGGTAGAGCTTTTCAGTCTGGAAACTCATGTTTCTAGGAAATTTCCTTGAATTCTTTGATATTTTTCTTTTTCTTTTTTACTCTTTTTTCTCTTTTTGGAAATCCTGGCCGCTGATACTTTGGGAACCAAGTAGGAGAAGAGGACCAAGGGCTCAATCTTTAATATTTCCTTTACTGAATCACCCTTGTGCCTGGGGGTTCCAGTCCAGAGACCCACTGTTTTGTTGTCTGCTAGGGTCTGTTGTCTTCCAGCCTTCCACCTGGTGGAATAGGGGAGGAGTAGGTCACTGGTGCAGCAGAGGGGTAAGGGATATGGGACTCTGATTAAGTAGATTTTCAACCCACCTTCACCCCCACTTCCAGAGGTACCTGGTGCCATCAGTTCCTGAGTCCTGGGTACTTTGTAGTTTCTGCAGCACAGCTTTGTAGCTTTTGGGCTTTCCCTCTGCTGGTTTAGAATTCAGTTTCCTTAAGCCTGATACATCAGTTACTTGTCCCTTTGTTTTCCAGCTTTCAGACTGTGTTCTGTGTCCTTCTCATTTTCTTTGTCTTCATGGGCCAGAGAGTGGAGATTGAGTTAAATGTATGTGTTCAGTCTGCCTCCTTTAACTAAAAGTCCTTGGATCACTTTCATGTGCATTTTTTTCCATGGTTGAGATCCTGCTGTTCTTCCAGTTTGATATTCAGTTTTTTCACTTAATTTTATAACAAAACAATTTCACCCGTCATTAAAAATCATTTTTGAATGTTATTTCAATAGCTAAAGTTGCATCATATGGACATGCCACTATTTATACTGTTTGCTTTATTAGTCTAGTATTGTTGACTATATAGGCTGCTTTTTGGTTTTTATAAATAATGTAAAAACAAATAAAGTCATAATATTTTTCTAATAGTTCTGATTATTCATTAGGCTAAAGCAGGATTTGGCAAACTGTGACTCAGAGTCTACCTCTGGCCCCTTGGCTTGCCATGAACTGAAAATGTTCCATACTTTTTTTTTAAAATTTTTTAAATTTTTTTTAAAGAGACAGGGTCTTACTCTGTTCAGGCTGGAGTGCAGTGGTGTGATCATAGCTTAGTGCAATCTTAGACTCCTGGGCTCAAGCAGTTCTCCCACTTCTACCTCCCGAGTAGCTAGAACTATAGGCATGTACCACCATGCCCAGCAAATTTTTAAATTTTTTTTTGTAGAGAGAGAGTCTTGCTATGTTGTCCAGGCTGGTCTTGAACTCCTGGTCTTAAGCAGTCCTCTCACCTTGGTCTCCCATAGTACTGGGATTGCAGGAGTGAGCCACCTCCCCAGATGTTTCTGACATTTTTCAAGAATTGTAATAAAGAAGAATGTGCAATAGACCACATGTGGCCTGCAAAACCTAAAATATTTATCTGGCCCTTTACAAAATATTTTGCTGACCCCTGGGCTAGAGATTTAGGTAAATACTAAACCATTAAGTAATAATTACAGTATACTCCAGAAAGTTAAAGTATACCTCATGGCTTCCTACTTTGGATAACTGGTATGTTTGTGATTGCATACCTTTTTTTTTTTTAATGCACTTACAAATATATACATGTGTGTCTAGATATTTAGTTTGGTTTGTTTTTTTTTTAAAAATAGGCTTCTTCTGTACTCATAGAACTACCACTTAAAACAATATAGAACAGACATCCTACCATATCTCTTACATGAGGATCTATCTCATTCTTTTTAATGGCTGCATAGTATTCAATAGTATGGATTTACCATAATTCATGTAATCATTACCAAATCGAGTATATTTGGGTTATCTCCAGCTTTTCACAATTAAAGTAATGCTGTAGTTAACATGCTTTTACATTTATCCCTGCACATTTGTTCAAGTATTTTTGATGATTTTCCAGAAGAAAATTGTTGGGTCAAAGTATATGCACAAAGTACATGCTAATTTGCTTTCTAGTTTACCCTGAGAGTGCCCCTTTTTCATATCTTTTCTAATACTAGATATTATTTGTCTAACTTTTAGCAATTTCTTAATTTTAATTTCCTAATCAATAGTGATCTTGAACATCTTTTCATGTGCTTACTAGTCATTTACAGTTCTGTAGATTGCCTGTTACAGACATTTCTAAGGCTCTTGATGAGTACAACCAAAAAACAGTTGCTTTCATTTGTGTTTCTCCAAGATTGTACAACAGTGTCTTTGTCACTATGTATAAAATTTTGGAAACATTTTGATCTCAAAACTTCTCTCTTTTACTAAATGGTGTTTTGTTAGGCAATTTTCGTTCTGCTCTCAATGATGTGACAGCTGCCAGAAAGCTAAAACCCTGCCACCTCAAAGCAATAATAAGAGGTAAGTCTTGTAGAACTACAGTATGACATTTAAAGCTTTGATATGGAGGTGCTAGGGTGCTAATAAAGTCATCTTATTTTTGCAGTCTGGGTATTAAGTTCCTGTTCCTTATCAGCAGCAACATGCCACTTTTAAAAGAATTCCTCAGAGAATGACTTAACCCTTTATGTTTTTAAGAATTTGTAGAGAAATAGAAACCCGTCATTTTAAATTAATAAATAATAAAATTAATTAAAACAAAGCAGTTGCAAAGCCACATTCTGATATTTTTTTCCCCCCAAATTAGCTGATCGAAAGCAAAGGTCTTCAAATGCCATGTTAATGTTAATTAAAAGATAAGTTGTGGGACCTTTGCTGATGACTGGTGCTGAGATGTTCTCAGATTATGTTTTCTCTTGTAGTCTGACCTTTCTATGTAATAATAGTGCTTTTATTACTTTTATACTTCACCTTTTCTTTGAGAAGCTCGTAGGTGCTTTGCAAACTTTAATTTATTCATCACATATTAATCTTCCCTGCATCCCCATGGACCAGCTTAGAATGCTTTATCAAAATTATGCCTCTTTAAATGTTCATGGTTAAGGGCAGTAGGCAGATCCATGTCCCTCAGCTGTAGGAAAAGAAGATACTGAACAAAGATTGACTGATAAATTGAATCTAGGTAGTCCTGTGGAATTTACTTCAGGCTGGAAGTGTGTAATCCTTGATTCAGTTGTTGGTTTAACTTACAGTGTGACCTTGGCAAGACACCCACTTTGAATATCAGTTTGCTCATCTCTAGAAGATGGGGTTAGATTCTATTGACATCTAAGCCCTTACAATTCTTATATTTTGAAATTCTGTGGAAAACCTAAAGAGGCTAAATGGAGAAAGATGTACATGATAACATTATTATTATTATTATTATTTTTGATGGGGGAGAGGCAGCTTCAACTGGTAGCCGTAAAGAACAAAATTAGGAGAGACCTAATGTCTTTGGCCTTGCCGCTGCCTTGATGAATAGCTGAAGCAAATTCTGCTTTTTCCTCCTTTAAAAAATCGTCTGGGAAGGACTTTATTCTTCCTGTTTGTAGATGAGGAACCTAAAACTTGGAAATGCTTGGTCCTTTGTCTAAGGTCTAGCTGGTAAATGACACAGCCAGATTTCTAGCCTTGATCTATATGGTTTGCCACTAAGTTACAGCTTTTCCTACTTTAAGAGCCCTTAATACCAGGGAGACTTACAGGAGTTTTGAACTAAATGGACCTTAGGGATTTTTCTGATTTAGGACACAAAAAATATTCTTCCTTGTCTGGGGACTGCAGTATAAGGGGCATTATCCTCCATTTTGACTTCAGGGTACTGGCTAGTAGTTGGTAGGGGTGGGAGATCTTGCTCAAAGCAGGCTGTTTCCATGCATGTTGTTCTTGGATCCTAAGGGTTCTGGGTTCTGCAGGTGCCTTATGCCATCTGGAACTGAAACACTTTGCCGAGGCCGTGAACTGGTGTGATGAGGGACTGCAAATAGATGGCAAAGAGAAGAAGCTTCTGGAATTGAGGGCTAAAGCAGACAAGCTGAAGGTTGGTGACTGTCAGCAGCCAATTAGCATTTGCTAAGTAGCATTAATTAGCATTCCCAAGATTGTGTCTCTCAAGTCATTGTAACTTTTTAAAAACAAAACCCAGGCGGGGCGCGGTGGCTCAAGCCTGTAATCCCAGCACTTTGGGAGGCCGAGACGGGCGGATCACGAGGTCAGGAGATCGAGACCATCCTGGCTAACACGGTGAAACCCTGTCTCTACTAAAAAATACAAAAAACTAGCCGGGCGCGGTGGCGGGCGTCTGTAGTCCCAGCTACTCGGGAGGCTGAGGCAGGAGAATGGCGTGAATCTGGGAGGCGGAGCTTGCAGTGAGCTGAGATCGGGCCACTGCACTCCAGCCTGGGCGGCAGAGCGAGACTCCGTCTCAAAAAAAAAAAAAAACAAAAAAAACCACAAAACCCAAAACTAGTCCCTACTCTTGGAACTCTATGGAGAATACAGACAAGTAAACAGTTATAGTGTGATATAGAGGTAAGCAAGGATAGATGGTGTGTATAGTGGTAGTACAGTCATGTGCCACATAACAGTGTTTCATTCAATGATGGAACTCTGCATATATTACAAGTTGCCTACAGTATTCAGTGTAGTTATGTGCTATATAGGTTTGTAGCCTGGGTGCAATAGGCTGTACCATATAATCTAGGTATGTAGCAGGCTATACCATCTCAGTTTGTGTAAGTACATTCCATGATGCTTGTAAAACAATGAGTGCATTTTTCAGAATGTATCCCCATCAATCTGAATGGAGATATGTCTTGTCCAGGGCAAAATTAGATACCTTTACTATATACAGTCACATAACAATGTCACATGTTCAGGGCCAGCTAAAGACTCCTAGTATATATTATATACTTCCATTCCATAGTATAAGCCATGAAGAGAGACTGAAACCAGGAATTAAGAGACCTTAAGACTAGTTCTGGCTTTCTGTTAACAGGCATGTAAGGCAGTATTGCACAGTGGCTAAGAGCTTAGACTCTGGAGCCACTGCCTGAATTTGAAGACTCCCTTCATGAGAGTTGTGTGACTTGGACAACTTGCTGATCTTTTTGTGCTTTAGCTACCTCACTAGTAGGAGGAGGATTAAAATACTTCCTACCTTATAGGGTTATTATATAGTTTAGATGGTTTAACATAAGTAATGTTTTTTAAATAGCACCTGGAACATACACAGTAATGCTATTTAAATGTTGGATATTATTTTGGGTAGTGATGGTATTCTGTTATTATTACTGTTTTTAATCATTATTTTAGCTATTAAGTGCCAGAAATGTCACATGTCATCAGCAATGACCAGAGGTCATTCTGGTCATATGAAATGGTAGAAAAGGTAGATCTCTATGGACCCACATGGCTCAATAACAGAATTCTGAGCCTAGGTAATTGGGTGTGGCCAGAATTTCTGAAAGTGGTATATACAGGAATGAATGTCTAGAGGGCTACTGGGGACAGTCACAATTAAAGGGAGATTTCAAGGCCCAGAACCCTGATATTAGGTTTAGGTGACACTGCTTGCTGAATAGCTGAATTATTCCCCTATGTCTAAGTACAAGTTGATTCTGGGTTCCTGTGTACTTGGCATATAGCCAACAGACTCGTGGCTATATTAATATCAGACAGAGTAGACTTCAAGGCAGCAAGTATTACCAGAGATGAAGTAAAGCCTTTTTTCTTTTTTTTCTTGAGACAGAGTCTTGCTCTGTTACCCAGACTGGAGTGCAGTGACATGATCATGGCTTACTGCAGCCTTTACCTCCTGGGCTCAGCTGATCCTCCTGCCTCAATCTCCTGAGTAGCTGGAACTACAGGCGTGCACCACCATGCCAGGCTAATTTTTTTTTTTTTAATTGTAAATTTGTAGAGATAGGGATTCACTATGTTGCCCAGGCTGGTCTCAAACTCCTGGGCTCAAGCAGTCCTCCTGCCTTAGCCTTCCAAAGTGCTAGGATTACAGGCATGAGCCACTGTGCACAGCCATTGAAGCATTTTTTTAAATGATAAAAGGACCAGCTTATAAGAATATTTAACAATTCTAAATGTGTAGCCACCTAATAACAGCTTCAAAATGCGTGACACAAAACTTGACAACTCGAAGAAAGAGACAAATCCACAAATAGGTGGATATATCAACTCTCTCAGTAATTAATAAAACCAGTATTTAAAAAATAGAGAGGGGTAGTGTCAGTCACAGTGGGGGACTAAAGACCTTCAAAAATTTTCTCCAGCTGGGCACAGTGGCTCACGCCTGTAATCCCAGCACTTTAGGAGGCCGAGGCGGGTGGATTACGAGGTCAGGAGATTGAGACCATCCTGGCTAACACGGTGAAACCCCATCTCTACTAAAAATGCAAAAAATTAGCCAGGCGTGGCAGCGGGCGCCTGTAGTCCCAGCTACTTGGGTGGCTGAGGCAGGAGAATGGCATGAACCCAGGAGGCGGAGCTTGCAGTGAGCCGAGATCGCGCCACTGCACACCAGCCTGGGCAACAGAGCGAGACTCTGTCTCAAAAAAAAAAAATTTTTTTTCTCTATAAGATCAATGAGGAAACTGGCAAAAATGGTCAGAATTAACTTTTCTAGGACTCTGGAAATGAACCAGAGGTTTGCAGCAATCTGGGGCATGTTTATTCAAGAAAAATGATGGCACCTCAGTAAGAACAGCAAGCTTTGTGACACTTTAACTCGCTTTATTTTCATCTCCCTCCTCCCCAGTTCCACAGTAGCCTTGAAAGCCAATAGCTTTGTGACATTTTAACTTACTCTATTCTCATCTCCCTCCTCCCCAGTTCCACAGTAGCTTTGAAAGCCCATAGCCCACAGTCACGGTGAAAATGAGCAGCCTGCAGCCACCAGAGGAGGCAGAACAGGATTGGAGCTCTTTCAAAGCCTTTCCCCAGAGAATTGTCATGATTTGACCATCTGGTGGATCCCTGGAAGACCCAGCTCACAGGGCTATTTTTATATGACCCGACTTGGAGCTTACCCAGTATAAAAAGCTTTTTTACATAGGGCCAGAAAATAGGGGGAATGAAAAGGTGGGAGAGAATTTGTCAAAAACAATTAGAGGCAATTGTTAAAGACTGTAGAAGCTGAAGCAGTGGATAACACTTGGAGCAAACAATAGGTGCATCATAAAGCTTAAAAGGAAAAACTGGGGAATGAAATTCTGTGGAGGCTCCAAGAAGCTCCAGTATTCCTGGAGATCTAGATGGTCACACGTGTGCGTAGGGCTATACATGTGCTCAGGAAAGACCTGAGAAGATCCTAAGCTCTTAGAGTCTCTGCAAGCAGGAGGTGAAGTCTAAGGTAGAATTGTAAACTGCCTCGGTGAATGATAAAAGTGTGCTTCAACATGTACACAAAGCCTCTTGACAAAGATTGGAAGACATACTGTCTGGTCATTAGCTAGAGGAAGCCTAGATGTGGGACTTACTAGACAAAGACTTTAAACCAGCTAATTTAAATATCTTCTCAGAATGAAAGGAAATAGTGTCTAAAGAACTAGAAAAAGTATGAGAATGATGTCTTCCAAATAGAGAATATAACAAAGAGAAGTTACTAAAAAGAACTTAACAGAAGTTCTGTAGTTGAAAAGTACAATAACTGAAGCGAAAAATTCACTAGAAGGGCTCAACAGCACATTTGAGCAGGCAGTAATAAGAATCATCACACTTAAGATGTATCAGTTGAGGCTGGGCACGGTAGTTCACGCCTGTAATCCCAACACTTTGGGAGGCCGAGGCGGGTGGATCACGAGGTCAGGAGATCGAGACCGTCCTGGCTAACATGGTGAAACTTCATCTCTACTAAAAATACAAAAAAATTAGCCGGGCGTGGTGGCACATGCCTGTAATCCCAGCTACTCGGGAGGCTGAGGCAGGAGAATGGCGTGAACCTGGGAGGCGGAGCTTGCAGTGAGCCAAGATCGTACCTTTGCACTCCAGCCTGGGCGACAGAGCGAGACTCCATCTCAAAAAAAAAAAAAAAAAAAGATGTATCAATTGAGATTATCCAATCTGAAGAACAGAATGAGAAAAGAATAAGGATGAAGAGAGACTTGTACTATGCCATCAAGCATACCAACAAAGGCATAATGGGGGTCCTAGAAGGAGAGAAGAGAGAGAAATGGGCAAAAGAATACTTGGGGAAATACTGGCCAAAAACTCCCCAAATTTGGTGAAAAACACTAATGTATACATCTAAAAAGTTTTAACAAACTCTAAGTGGGATAAACTTAAAGTGATCTATACCTAAACACATTGTAATCAAACTGTTGAAAAACAAAGAAGAGAAACTTAAAGGTAGCAAGAGAAAAATGACTCTTCATGTACAAAAAATCCTAAGGAAAATTAACAGCTTTCTCATCAGAAGCCATGAAGGCCAAAAGGCAGGTAAATGACATACTCAAAGAACTAAAAGAAAAAGACTGTAAGAATTCTATATCTAGCAAACCTATTCTTCAAAAATGAAAGAGTGGCCGGGCATAGTGGCTCACGCCTGTAATCCCAGCACTTTGGGAGGCCGAGGCAGGTGGATCACAAGGTCAGGAGATCGAGACCATTCTGGCTAACACGGTGAAACTCTGTCTCTACTAAAAATACAAAAAATTAGCAGGGCGTGGTGGCAGGCACCTGTAGTCCCAGCTATTTGGGAAGCTGAGGCAGGAGAATGGCGTGAACCCAGGAGGCGGAGCTTGCAGTGAGCCGAGATCGTGCCACTGCACTCCAGCCTGGGCGACAGCGAGACTCCGTCTCAAAAAAAAAAAAAAAAAAAAAAAAAAAAAAAAAAAAAGAAAGAGTGGAAGAGAAGTAGTAGTAAAACCATCTATATGCAGACAACATGACATTATATAGAAAATCGTAAGGGATCCACTAAAAAACTCTTGGAACTAATAAATAAGTTCAGAAAGCTTGTTGGAAACAACATCACCATTACACAAAAATCATTTGTATTCTATAGATTTTTAATGAACACTCTGAAAATGAAATTAAGAAAACAATTCCATTTTCAATAGCATCAAAAAATACTTAAGAGTACATTTAACAAAATCAGCTAACACTTGTACTCTAAAAATACAGAAAACATTGTTGAAAGAAATTAAAGAAGACCTAAGTAAGTAGGAAGACATCCCATGTTCATAGATGAGATCTTAATATTGTTAGATGGCAATACTCCCAAAATTAATATATCAATTTAGTGTAATTTTCTTTTTTGAGACATGAACTTGCTCTAATATTCAGGCTGGAGTGCAGTGGCAAGATCATGGCTCACTGCAACCTCAAACTCCTGGGCTCAAGCAGCCCTCCTGCCTCAGTCTCCCAAGTATCTGGGACTACAGGCATGTAATGCCACATCTGGCTAATTTCAGTGCAATCTGTATGAAATGTCCAATTGGCTTCTCTGTAGAAATGGACAGGCTAATCATAATATTCATATAGAAATTCAAGGGACTCTGAATAAGCAACAATCACAAAAGACAAAAACAGAATTGGAAGACTCACACTTCCCAATTTCAAAACATACCACAGAGCTACAGTAATCAAGGCATTGTGATGCTGGCATAAGAATAGACATATAGGTCAATGTAATACAATTGAGAGCTCAGAAATAAACCCTCACATTTATGGGAAATTTATTTTCAACAAGCGTGCCAAGACCATTCAATAGGGAGGTAATCTTTTCAACAAATGACAGTGGGACAACTGGATATTCACATGTGGGAGAATGAAGCTAGAACCTTACCTCATACTATATAAAAAAGTTACCCAAAGTGGATCAAATACCTAAATGTAAGAGCTAAGACTACACAACTCTTGAAAGAAAGCATAGATACAAATCTTCATGAACTTGGATATGACACAAAGCACAAGCAACAAAAGGAGAAGTAGATCGATTGGACTTCATCAAAAGTAAAAACTTTTTGCTTCAAAGGATACCATCCAAAAAATGAAAAGGTTAAGATAAAGGTGAAGAAAACAGTGAAAAGGGCCTGGGTGCAGTGGCTCGCACCTGTAATCCTAGCACTTTGGGAGGCCAGGGCAGGAGGACCACTTGAGGCCAGGAATTCGAGACCAGCCTGGGCAACAAAGTGAGACCTTGTCTCCACACACACACACAAAAAAAAAAAAAAAAAAAGAGAAAGTCCACAGAATGGAAGTTAATATTTGTAAGTCATAAGGGAGTTTTATCTACAATATATAAACAACTCTTATCATCTCAATAAGACAGGTAACTCAGTTTTTTAAATGAGCAAAGGATGTGAATAGACGCTTCTCCAAAGACACACAAATGGCCAAAAAGCACATGAAAACATGTTCAACATCATTAATTATTAGGAAATGCAAATCAAAACCATAGTAAGATACCATTGCATACCCACTAGGGTGGTTATAATTAAAAAAAAAAAAAAAATCTATAGCGTCTATAGAGACAGGGTCTCTATCACCCAGGCTGTGTTTCATAGCACTTGGTTCACACCACCAGAGTAGTACATAATCCACCTGTTACACTTGGCTCTTTACTTGTCTGTACCCCTCAACCCTTCAGTAGACTGTGAGTTCCTTGGGTACATACAGGAAGTAAATTTAAACTTTTGCTGCCACTGGGTCTGACATCTAGGCATGTACTTTGTAAATGTTTATTGAGCTAAAATCTGGCCACTGGTATTCCTTAACACAGGAGCTTGGGTTGGATAGAGATCAGAGATAATAATTTAGGAGCAGGCTGGGGCAATAGAAGAGGAAGCCAGGTCTCTAGAGCTGATGCATCTAAATTTCATTTTTAGCGAATTGAACAGAGGGATGTGAGGAAAGCCAGCTTGAAAGAAAAGAAGGAGAGGAATCAGAATGAGGCTTTACTCCAGGCCATCAAGGTGAGTTTTCAAACCTTAGGTTTTTATGGTCCTACTAAATCCACTAATCCTGTGAAGCTTGTTGGGAACCTTTCTTGGGATGCTTTACCTGAAGGAATTTGTTCATTTTCTTTCTACTTTGGTAAAGCAGTGTGACAGAGGAGACCAGGCTGTGGAGTCAGGCCACCCCAGTTCAGTCAGCTCTCTCACTCGTGTGCATGTGTTGGTCTCAGTAACATATACAGTTATCTCCACTTATCTGAGGCAGATGTGTTCCAGGATCCACAGCGATGCTTGAAATCTCAAATAGTACCAAACCTGATTGCCATCAGTCAGAACACATTTCTGTTTGTGTCTTCCACCTACAAATATTATGCCTTTTCCATCTTAGCTAAAGCACTTATCACACATTGTGGCCATAATTTTTGCAGTTTGAGGTACATCAGCAACAGCAAAACTAGCATTAATTTCTTTTTCCTTTTTCATAATTTCACAGATAGAAGGTTTCTCTTACCATAGATCTTAGCAACCTCAGCATACAATTTTTCTTTTAATTAAGCTGAGAAGTTTCACCTTTTTACTTAAAGGAGGTAGTTTATAGCTTCTGTTTGGCATATCCATATTGCCAGCATCGGTACTCTTATGCTTTGGGGTCCTTATTAAGTAAAATGAGTGTTACTTAATACAGGGACTATGATACCATGACAGTCAGTCTCATCATTGAGATGGGTACTAACTCACAGGTGGGTATCATCGACAGCATGGATGTGCTGGACAAAGGAGCAGAGCCTGTGATTTCATCATCTGCTGCTCAGAGCAGTGCATAATTTAAAACGTACAGGTTGTTTATTTCTGGAATTTTTCATTTCATATTTTCAGACCATGGTTGACCACTGGCAACTGAAACTGCGGAAAGCAAAACCATGGATAAGGGGATGCTACTGTACTGAATACCTGCTTTGGGTTAAGTGTTATTTAATCTTCACAATGGCCTTCTGAGATAGGTTATCTTGCTTCTGTTTTGCTGGATAATAAAATAGTTTCAGAGAGGTAAAGAAACCTCACACAGCTCACATGTGTTAGAGCCAGGTCCTTGCTCTTAACCACTGGGTTATACTGCATCTTGAGAAAGTTTGACATTTTTGGATGTTGCTCCTATAACAACAACAACAACAATAATAAAATCCTACCTTCCCTTTCTCTTTTCTGTATTTTGAAATGTATGTAGTCTGACCCAAATCTTGCTTTAACCTTGATACCTAGGGAGTCACCTGTTTGAGCTTGTTTGGTTTTCATGAAGGAGAGAGTATCTGCTGGGAGATTATGGGATAGGTTTTTTTGTTGTCGTTGTTGTTTTTTGGTTTTGTTTTTGTTTTTGTTTTGAGACAGAATGTTGCTCTGTCGCCCAGGCTGAAGTGCAGTGGCGTGATCTTGGCTCACTGCAACCTCTGCTTCCTGGGTTCAAGCAATTCTGCCTCAGTCTCCCGAGTAGCTGGGATTACAGGCACACACCACCATGCCCAGCTAATTTTTGTATTTTTAGTAGAGATGAGGTTTCACCATATTGGTCAGGCTGGTCTCGAACTCTTGACCTCAGGCGATCCACCTGTCTCGGCCTCGCAAGGTGCTGGGATTATAGGCGTGAGCCACCATGCCCGGCCGGGATAGGTTTTTTATTATTTGTTTAGTTAAATTATGCACCATTTATATTACTTGTTGACTGTAAGAAACTTAACACTGCTAAAACATACTCCACTATTCCCTCCCCACAACAGTCTGTTTACATGTATTAACACATCAAACAGATCAGAATACTCCAGATTTTTCATCTAATTCTCATTCACAGTGAGGGATTTGTTCATTTTCTTAAATGTAGAATATGGGATGCCCAGACACCCAGATATTTGCATACACACTTTTTTTGTTTTTTTGATTCTCTCCTTTAGTGTAACCCTTCATCTCAAACTTAACATACATAAGAATTACTCTCAACAGTACACAAAGCCATGCATGCTGTATTTACTAATGGTTTAAGGGAGGAGTCAGCAAATTGCAGCCATTGGAACACAGCCCTGCCTATTTGTTTGTGTACTTACTACTTATGGCTGTTTTCACACTACAGTGGCAGAGTTGAGTAGTTTATTTTGACAGAGACCATTGTCCAGAACTCTTAAAATATTTCATATCTAATGCTTTAAGAAAAAGTTTGCTAACCTCCAATTTAGGGAATATCATCAAATCTAATTTTGGTTGCATGTCATTTCCCCTCATGTGCTAACCTTAGGAGCCCCTGCACGCTTACATAAGAGGTGACCCTACTATTTCAGACTCTTGCTTTATGCCCATGTCTGAGAGACAGTCAAGATTAAGTCAGTGCACAGTCTTTCTAATATTCCATGTCCCAGCTAAACTGAAACATTTGACATTTCTGTACAGGCTACCTTCTTGATCTTTTCTGTGCTTTTGCACAGGCCGCTCCTTGGAGTGGAATGCTCTTCCTCCCTTCTAAGTGCCCCTCCCTTCCAACTTCTCTGCTTTTCAAAGTCATTGTTCAAGGCCTAGCATATCTTAGTCACCTCCAGCCCCCAAGGCTGAATTAATTATTCCATCATCTGTGGTTCCCCAACTCCACTTCTTACCTTATATCATCATTATTTTCATAGCTGTCTCACCACTTGATATTGAGCAGAGGCTTGAGGGCAGGTAACCATGTCTAGGTCTCTGTGACACAGGGTCCAGCACAAGGTAGATGCCCAATGAAGGTGAGTTAAGTAAGTGGTACCTACTATGCGCCAGGCCTCAGGGATAATGAAGATGGATTGTGTGTAGCGTTGTCCCTCGGAGCTCCCATTGTTACGGTTTTTTTCTTTTTTTTTTGGTGTGTTAAAGATGTCCATGTTCATTCAGGGTATGGATGGGGAAAATTAAATTAAAAATAAAGTTAATTGTGCAGCCTGGACGATATAGTGAAACTCTAGTCTCTTCAAAAAATAAAAATAAATAAAAAATAAAAAAATTAGCCAAGTGTTAGGGTTTCTTTACTTCAGTAAAATGGGTTTGCATCCTCCCACACAATAAGATGTGCATTATGTGTGTGTTTCTGTCTTTAACCCAGGCTAGGAATATCAGGCTCTCAGAAGCTGCCTGTGAGGATGAAGATTCACCCTCAGAAGGTCTAGGTGAGCTTTTCCTGGATGGACTCAGCTCTGAGAACCCCCATGGAGCCAGGCTGAGTCTAGATGACCAGGGCAGGCTGAGCTGGCCTGTGCTCTTTCTGTACCCAGAGTATGCCCAGTCGGACTTCATCTCTGCTTTTCATGAGGACTCCAGGTACTGACTTGCCCAGGAGCCCTCTGCTTTTACTTGCATGCTGTCTCTTTTTGTGACAGGAGGGACAAGTGGATTTTTGGTTGAGAAGGGAAGATAATGGTTTAGAGGGTTTCACACAATCTGGTGTGAAATCTCTCTATCCTGTAGCTGACTGAACCTTGACTGACTAGGTTTGCAATGACAGACAAAAGTCTCATCATCGTACTGACTGGGCTAGTATGTGTAACACCACAGTATTGTGTTTGCCAAAGAGTGGTATACATCACTGGTGAAATATGAAGTCATTTTAGGTAATACATGCATAGCAACTTAAGTGAATATTAATTAGAAAAAAAATAGAGAGACCGGGCGCTGTGGCTCATGCCTGTAATCTCAGCACTTTGGGAGACCAAGTCAGGCAGATTACTTAAGGCCAGAGTTCGAGACCAGCCTGGCCAATATGGTGAAACCCAGTCTCTACTAAAAATACAAAAAATTAGCTGGGCGTCTGTAATCTCAGCTACTCAGGAGGCTGAGGCATGAGAATCACTTGAACCTGGGAGGTGGAGGTTGCAGTGAGCCAAGATCATGCCACTACACTCCAACCTGGGTGATAAAGCAAGACTTTGTCTCAAAAAAAAAAAAAAAAATATATATATATATATATATGTATGTATCTTGTGATTTCATAGGGTTAATGCATAGAATAAGTCTAATTGTAAGACAATTTTTTTTGTAATCTTTTTTTTTTTTGGAGACCAGGTCTGGCTCTGTTGCCCAGGCTGGAGTCCAGTGGTGTGATTATGGTTCATCATAGCCTCCATCTCCCAGGCTCAAGTGATCCTCCTGCCTCAGCCTCTCAAGTAGCTGGAACCACAGGTGAACACCACCACATCTGGGTAATTTTTTAATTCTTTGGTAGACACAGAGTCTCTCTATGTTGCCCAGGTTTGTCTTGAACTCCTGGGCTCAAATGATCCTCCCACCTCGGCCTCCCAAAGTACTGGGATTACAGGCATGAGCCACTGCACCCGACCAGAAATGTTTTTAACCCTGAATCTGTTTAAAGAAAATTATGTCAGCTGGGCACGGTGGCTCACGCCTGTAATTCCAGCACTTTGGGAGGCCAAGACAGGAGGATCACTTGAGGCCAGGAGTTCAAGACCAGCCTGGCCAACATGGCAAAATCCCATGCCTACTAAAAATGTAAAAAATTAGCCAGGCGTAGTGGCACATGCCTGTAGTCCCAGCTGCCTGGGAGGCTGGGGCACGAGAATCGCTTGAACCTGGGAGGTGGAGGTTGCAGTGAGCAGAGATCGTGCCATTGCACTCCAGCCTGGGTGACAGAGCAAGACTTTGTCTCAAAAAAAAAAGAAAAGAAAATCCTGTCAGTCAGGTGCAGGGCTCACACCTGTAATCCCAATACTTTGGGAGGCTGAGGCAGGAGGATCATTTGAGCCCAGGAGTTTGAGACCAGCCTGGGCAATATAGGAGACCCCCGTCTCCACAAGAAAAAGAAAAAAATTAGCCAGGCATAAGTGGCATGCACCTGTAGTCCCAGCTACGCAGGCGGCTAAGTTAGAGGAATTGCTTGAGCCTGGAGGTCGAGGCTACAGTGAGCTATTATGCCACTGTAGTCTAGCCAGGGTGACAGAGTGAGACCCTGTCTCAAAAGAAAAAAAAAAAATGTCATAATAGGACAAGTGATACATATGCACATTTTGGGTATTGCTGTCAAATAGGTTAAGCCTGCATTTCATGTTTTATACATGCTAGATAACTTTGAATTAGTGTCTGGGGACTGATGTGGGAAAATTGGTCATGAGTTATTGATACCCAGAAAGTACACATTTTATCTTTAGGTTTATTGATCATCTAATGGTGATGTTTGGTGAAACACCCTCTTGGGACCTAGAGCAAAAATATTGCCCTGATAATTTGGAGGTAAGAGAAGTTTTATTTCATTCCTCTATGGAATTAATTTTTTTTTTTTTTTTTTTTTTGCGGTGGGGGGAAGGCTGGTAGAGGGAGGAGAAACTGACTGCTTTTTTTTTTTTTGAAAATTATAGTAAAATATACATGACATAATATTTACCATTTTAACCATTTTTAGGTATATAGTTCAGTGGCATTAAAGAACATTCACATTGTTGTGCAACTATCACCACCAGCCATCTCCAAAACTTTTTCATCATCCCAAATTGAAATTCTAAGTACTTCATATAAGTGGAATCATACAGTATTTGTCCTTTTATGTCTGGCTTATTTCACTTAACATCGTGTCTTCAAGTTTCATACATATTGTAGCATGTGTCAGAATTTCCTTTTTTTTAAAATTTTTGAGACGGAGTCTCACTCTTTCACCCAGGCTGGAGTGCAGTGGTCTGATCTTGGCTCACTGCAACCTCTGCCTCCCAGGTTCAAGCGATTCTCCTGCCTGAGCCTCCTGAGTAGCAGGGATTACAGGCACGTGCCACCACACCCAGCTAAGTTTTGTATTTCTAGTAGAGATGGGGTTTCACCACATTGGCCAGGCTGGTCTCGAACTCCTGACCTCAAGTGATCCACTCATCTCGACCTTTCAAAGTGCTGGGATTACAGGTGTGAGCCACCACACCCAGCCAGAACTGTCTTCCTTTTTATTTGCTTTTATTTTTTGAGACAGAATCTTGCTCTGTCACCTAGGTTGGAGTGCAGTGGTGCAATCTCAGATATTGCAGCCTTGCCTCTAGGGTTCAAGTGATTTTCATGCCTCAGGCTCCAGGTAGCTGGGATTACAAGCATGCGCCACCATACCTAGCTAATTTTGTTTGTATTTTTAGTAGAGATGGGGTTTTGCTATGTTGGCCAGGCTGGTCTTGAACTCCTGGCCTCAAGTGATCCACCCTCCTTGGCTTCCTAAAGTGCTGGGATTACAGGCGTGAGCCACCATGCCCAGCCAGAATTTCTTTCCTTTTTAAGGCTGAATAACATTCCACTGTTGGGATTTTTTAAATAAAAAAATCACAATTTCCAGCATAAAGAATTTTCTTTTTCTAACATTTGAGAGTAGGATGCCAACTGATGTCCCATCACCCCTGAATACTTTAGTGTGCATTTCCTACACGAAAAGACATTTTTCTAATAATACCCATATAGCTATCAAAGCAGGAAATTTACTTTAATTCACTGCTACCATCTAACCCTCCGTTCGGGTTTCACAAATTCTTTATAGCACAAGGGTTTTGTTCAGAATCACATACTGTATTTAGTCATCATGTAGCTTTAGTCTCCTTTGGTATGGAAGAGCTCCTCAGTCTTTCCTCCACTTTTTTTTTACTTAAAAAGTTTGCATTCATATTTTTGTGATCATGTGACTCAACTGCAGTACACTTTCTTGATCTTAACACCTTTGAAGATTACAGATCACTTATTTTGTGGAATGTCTGTCAGTATGGGTTTGTCTCATGTTTCCTTCTGGCTAGATTTGGATTATACATATTTGTTTGTTTGTTTTGAGACAGAGTTTTACTCTTGTTGCCCAGGCTGAAGTGCAATGGTGCGATCTTGGCTCACTGCAGCCTCCGCCTCCAAGGTCCAAGCGATTCTCCTGCCTCAGCCTCCTGAGTAGCTGGCATTACAGGCATTTGCCACCATGCCCAGCTAATGTTTTGTATTTTTAATAGAGACGGGGTTTTGCCATGTTGGCCAGGCTGGTCTCACACTCCTGACCTCAAATGATCTGCCCGATTTGGTCCCCCCAAAGTGCTAGGATTTCAGGCATGAGCCACCGCCCCTGGCCTGGATTATGCATATTTGGCTGGAATATTACAGAAGTGATGCTGTATTCTCATTGCACCTATCAGGTGGTATGTGATCTCTCTTTTTTTTTTTTTTTTTTTGAGACGGAGTCTGGCTCTGTCACCCAGGCTGGAGTGCAGTGGCGCGATCTCGGCTCACTGCAAGCTCCGCCTCCCGGGTTTACGCCATTCTCCTGCCTCAGCCTCCCGAGTAGCTGGGACTACAGGCGCCCGCCACCTCGCCCGGCTAGTTTTTTGTATTTTTTAGTAGAGACGGGGTTTCACCGTGTTAGCCAGGATGGTCTCGATCTCCTGACCTCGTGATCCGCCCGTCTCGGCCTCCCAAAGTGCTGGGATTACAGGCTTGAGCCACCGCGCCCGGCCGGTATGTGATCTCTCTTTGTCCCATTACTCATGGTGTTCTCTCTGATCACCTGATTGAGGTGGGGTCTGCCAGCCTTTTCCACTGTACAGTTACTTTTTCTTTATGATTGATAAGTGTTTTATAGAGATGCTTTGAAATGGTGTAAATATCTCATTGCTTGTCAGACATTCTACATATTTATTTATTTGGTGGATTTATAGTTTCCTGTTTGATTTAGTGAATTTTAATCTGTTACTATGATTGTTTCTTTTATGCTCAGAATATCCCAGATTTGGCCAGTGGGAATCTCTTCAAATTCGTTTTTGTGTCCTTTTGACTGTTGTCTATTTTTAAAGTGGTTGCTACACAGGATGTTCTAGGTTCAAATTGTGCTTTCCTTGCCCCAGCTCTGGAATCAGCTATTTTTTCCCAAGGAGCCCTGGTTCTTTCTAGTGAAGAATGGTATTTAGAAGCCGAGATCTCTGTGCAATAAGTGTATTGATTAATACAGTGGGGGTAGACAGGCAAGCTTACTGCCTCAATGCTTTCTCAGTGCCTCAACTGAGGAGTGTGTGTGTGTGTGTGTATGTAAAACCATGATGTCTCATTGGTATCTCCAACTCTAATCCAACATCCACAGGATTTTTTCTCCCTTTCTACATATGTAACAATGACTTTCTTCTTCTTTTTTCTTTTTCTTTTTTTTTTTTTTTTTTATCTTCTGTTACTGGTAGAGATGGGGTTTCACCATGTGGGCCAGGCTGGTCTTGAACTCCTGACCTCAAGTGATCCACTCATCTCGGCCTTTCAAAGTGCTGGGATTACAGGTGTGAGCCACCACACCACAGCCTGACTGTGTTGCCCAGGCTGGAGTGTGGTGGTGAGATCTTGGCTCACTGCAGCCTCAACCTCCTGAGCTCAAACGATCCTCCCACCTCAGCCTCCCAAGTAGCTGGGACCATAGGCGTTTGCCACCGTGCCCAACTAATTTTTGTATTTTTAGTAGAGACGGGGTTTCACCATGTTGCCCAGGCTGATCTTGAACTCCTGGACTCAAGTGATCCACCTGCCTCAGCCTCCCAAAGTGCTCAGATTACAGGCATGAGTCACCATGCCTGGCCTGACTTTATTATTTTTAATATAGTTATTTGTTTGATCAGTTCCCCTCCTGTCATCACTGCTGGCCTCTCTCCTATGTGGAGCCTTCCTCACCCTACTTGGACTCTTGACTCCACATGTTAGGCTACTGCCCCCATGTGGGTGCCTTCCTCACCCTGCACAGACTCTGACATCCTGCACTGCTCAACGACCCTACATGGACACCCTCCTCATCCTGCTTGGGCTCCCCCACAGCAGGCCACCCCCTGCCATGAGTGGTCACCCTCCTTACCCTAGTTGGGCCTGTATACTCCATCCATATTAGTTGTCCCCATACATGGATACCCCCTTTTCACCCCACATGGCCTCTGACACCCCACCTTGGACAGCCATCTTACAAGGGAGCACTTCTTCCCCTGCTCAGGCCTGCTGGCCCCCAGCATGGATACCCTTCTCCACTGGTCCTGCTCTGACACCCTCGGCAGCTTCCTGTGCAGACGTCTTCCTCACCCTGCTTGGGCTTTGACACGCTGCACAGACATCCTTCTCACCTTCCTCAGGCTCTTTCCTGCTCTGAGCCACCACAGCTTTCTCCTCCACATACCTGATGGCTTTAGTCTGAATTGTTAGGGAAAGGAGGGCTACATAGGCCTGGCCCTGAGTCTTAACTCTTCTGTCTACTAGCCAGGTAGTGTTGGCAAGTTGTTCTCCTTCTCTGAGCCTTGATTCTGTCTTTGGAAGATGGAACTGATAATAGCCTCTCTTACAGTGGCATGGCGGGGACTAAATGCAAAGCACCCAGCTACACAACCATATAAAGGAGACATTCAACTGCTAACAGTTGCCATCTTTTAAATTTTCCCTGGGCTTAGCCTTAACTAAGGCTGCCAAAGCGCTTTATCTCTGACTCTTGCCCTTCTGTTAATCTTGCAGGTCTACTTTGAAGATGAGGACAGGGCAGAACTATACCGGGTGCCTGCCAAGAGCACCTTGCTGCAGGTTCTACAGCACCACAGGTGAGTTACCTCATGGCACTGAGTAGACTGGGAAAGATGCTCAGTGTATTAGTCCATTTTCACACTGCTGATAAAGACATACCTGAGACTGGGCAATTTACAAAGAAAAGAGGTTTAACAGAGAACTCATAGTTCCACATGGCTGGGGAAGCCTCACAATCATGGCAGAAGGCAAGGAGGAGCAAGTCACCTCTTACGTGGATGGCGGCAGGCAAAGAGAGAGAGCTTGTGCAGGAAAACTCCCTTTTTTTTTGAGACAGAGTTTCGCTCTTGTTGTCCAGGCTGGAGTGCAATGGCACGATCTCGGCTCACTGCAACCTCCACCTCCTGGGGTCAAGCGATTCTCCTGCCTCAGGGCCTCCTGAGTAGTTGGGATTACAGGCGCCTGCCACTACGCCTGGCTAGTTTTTGTATTTTTAGTAGAGACAGGGTTTCACCATGTTGGCCAGGCTGGTCTCGAACTCCTGACCTCAGGTAATCCACCTGCCTCAGCCTCCTAAAGTGCTGGGATTACAGGCATGAGCCACTGCTCCCGGTCAAGAACTTCCATTTTTAAAAGCATCAGATCTCGTGAGACTTAGTCGCTATCACAAGAACAGCACAGGAAAGACATACCCCCATGATTCAGTCATCTCCCACCGGGTCCCTTCCACAACACATGGGAATCATGGAAGCTACAAGATGAGATTTGGGTGGGGATACAGAGCCAAACCGTATCACTCAGGCACCATCCCAGGAGTACAGCCAGGTTCTGATTCCGCTGCTGATCGATTGCCTCATACTCCCCTCCTTTCTGCCCTGAGCACAGAGCTGTATGAGACAGCAGCCATGGAGTCTACCCTGGCCCATTAAACTTAGCCATTAGTCAAACATGCTCTAGTGTGATGATAGCCCACTGCACCACAGCCATAACACTCCAGACCAGAGGAGATAAATGGGGCTGGTCTGAGAATGGAAAAGCTGCCTCGCTTTTGTATGTGAAGGCTGCTAGGGTGGCCTTCTTTCTTTCTTTTTTTTTTTTTTGAGACAGCATCTCGCTTTGTCACCCAGGCTGGAGTGCAGTGGCACGATCTTGGCTCACTGCAACCTCCACCTCCCCAGGTTGAAGCGATTCTCCTGCCTTAGCTTCCTGAGTAGCTGGGTTTACAGGGGCCCGCCACCATGCCTGGCTAAGTTTTGTATTTTTAATAGAGACGGGGTTTTACCATTGTCCAGGCTGGTCTCAAACTCCTGACCTCCGGTGATCCACTCACCTCGGTCTTCCAAAGTGCTGGGATTATAGGCGTGAGCCATCGCACCCGGCCAGCCTTCCATTTCCTAATTGTACCTATACCTATGTCTCCTGATGCTCTTTCTTTCTTTTGTTTGCTTTTTCTTATTTTTAATTTTTTTTTTTAATAGAGACAGGGTTTTACCATGTTGGCCAGGCTGGTCTTGAACTCCTGGGCTCAAGCAATCCACCTGCCTCAGCCTCCCAAAGTGCTGAGCCACCACACCCAATTTATTTTTTTTTTTTTTTGAGATAGAGCTTCACTCTCTCACCCAGGCTAGAGTGCAGTGGCATGGTCTTAGCTTACTGCAGTCTCTACCTCCTGGGTTCAGGCAGTTCTCCTGCCTCAGCCTCCCGAGTAGCTGGGACTACAGGCATGCACCACCAAGCCCGGCTAATTTTTGTATTTTTAGTAGAGATGGGGTTTCACCATGTTGGCCAGGGTGGTCTCAAACTCCTGACCTCAAGGCATCCACCTGCCTCAGCCTCCCAAAGTGCTGAGATTATAGATGTGAGCCACCACACCCAGCCCCCAAAATTTTTTTAAAATTATTTTTATGATAGAGACGAGGTGTCTTCTCCAGGCTGGTCTTGAACTCCTGGGCTCAAGCAGTCCTCCTGCCTTACTCTCCCAAGTAGCCGGGATATTGAGTGCATGCCACTGTCCCGGCTCCTGATACTGTCATGTGAAGAGAGCATTGGCTCTTGAAGTCAGACCCATCATCATTGACTGGCTGCGTGACTCTGAGCACACGCTGCCTCTAGGACTGCCGCCTCATCTCTGGAACGGAGTCATACATGCTTACACATTTCTCAGGTATTTGAGAGCCAATGAGAGGATAGGAGTTGAAGTGCTGTTGTGAACTGCACAGGGCAGTCCTGCTGTAGGAGGGCATCTTTGTCATTAGCAGTGGCAGCAAGATGGATTTGGCAGTTGTCTCAGAGAAGCTGTGAGGTGTTCCTGGGCTATAAGGGAGTGCCCTCAGCAGATTTGCAAATTGACTCTTGGACTACTTTTCCTTAAGCTTTGACCAAAGCAAAGAAGAGAAAAGCAGATGCTTTTGCACTTAAGCTAAAAGAGCCCAATGTATTAGTGTAAAGAGAATGGTTGGATGTGGTAGGAAATGAGGCTAGAAAGCTAAGTTAGGGTCATACATCTGGACGCGGTGTCTCACGCCTGTAATCCCAGCACTTTGGGAGGCTGAGGCAGGTGGATCATGAGGTCAGGAGATTGAGAACATCCTGGCTAACATGGTGAAACCCCGTCTCTACTAAAAAAAAAATATATTAGCCGGGCGTGGTGGTGGGTGCCTGTAGTCCCAGTTCAGGCCATTCTCCTGAACACGGGAGGGAGAGCTTGCAGTGAGCTGAGATTGCACCACTGCACTCCAGTCTGGGTGACAGAGCGAGACTCTGACTCAAAAAAAAAAAAAAAAGGAAAGCTAAGTTAGGGCCATACAGGAAGGCCTGAATGCCCTGCTAAGGAGCGTAAACTTTATCCTGATTGTGGTGTACACCAGGGTTGATTTTTTAAAATTAAAAAGATTTTAAAAGATGTACACAATAGGCTGGGTACAGTGGCTCACACCTATAATTCCAGCATTTTGGGAGGCTAAGGCATGAGGATCACCTGAGCTCAGGAGATCATCCTGAGAAACATAGCGAGATCCTGTCTCCACAAAAAAAATGTTTATGGTGTTGTGCACCATAAACGTAGTCCTAGCTATTTGGGAGGCTGAGGCAGGAAGATTGCTTGAGCCCAGCATTTCAAGGCTGCAGTGAGCTATGATCACACCACTGCACTCCAGCCTGGGTGAGAGTGAGACCCCATCCTCCCACCACACAAAAAAATTACAGAGTAATGTAAAGATTTGAAGTGTACTGTCCAGTGGCGAGGCCTGAAGTAGGAGGAGGTGGATTAGAAAGAGGTTTAGGAGGCAGATTGGATGGGAGCTGGTGTAGTGTTGAGTGATGTGATAGAGGTGTCCAGCTGGTCTTAATGCTTTGGCTTTGGCTTGGTAGGCAGGAAGGAAAGGTTTTTCCAGATCTAATTGATACCTTTGGTGGTGTTTTACTGTGGTCCCAAATCTCTCTTCTTCTAGTTTGTAGACACATTTTTAGCTGCTCATTTTCTCAGTTGTTAGCAAATTACCCAGAATTCTTTAAAGGCCTGAGTTCTGCCCTACACCAGAGAAGAAATCTAAGTAGAAAGCAGAATGATGCTTGGAGGAAACCAGATTCATGCTTCTCAGAAAATGTAAATGCTGTTGGAAGTTACTACCTTTAAAATTATTACCATAGGCAAGAGCCTACCCAGGACTGGTTTCTGGCAACTTCAGACCCTAAACTGGGTGGAGCTACGAAATAGGCCCTTTGTCCCAAAGCAGGCACACTGAGTAATGCAACGCCGCTATCCCCGGGAAGCCAAAGCCCTCCCTGCCTCTCCAGCCTGCCTCACTCCTTTTACTTTGTGCCCTAGCCACAGCAAACGTTCGGGTTACTTGCGCCTCCTGGCTTTTACTCCCCAACCCCCATCACCACTCCTTCCCCAAATTAAAGCCAAGTTCAGACATGGCATCTTCCAGGAAGCCTTTTTTGATTCCTTTCCTCATAGAGGGAACCGTGCTTCCTTGGGATAATACTGTGCCTCACAAATGCTTCTGCAGTTGTACCTTGCTGTCATTAATTGGTTCCTCATCTCCCTCCCCTCCAGGACTGAATTTGAGAACAAAGATGATGATGTGTGGGTGTTTGTTTTTTAATCTCTGTGTTTTCAGCATAGGGCCTGGCTTACCACTGAATGTTGAATGAATGAATGAATGAAACCATGCTTTACAGTTTTATTTCATATTTAGCCACAGACATGCATGATGCCAGAGGACTGGCCTAAAGGTTCTGGCAAGGTTGTAAGGATGAGAATGTCATGCTAATTTGCCAGATTTATGAACAACTAAATAACTGTGCTAAACTTGCATTTTCATGTTGACTCCCATCCAAAGGCTCACCTTGAATGTTGTTAGGAAGGTGCATGGATGGTTAAGATTGTAATTAAATTAACACCCTCTCTTTTGTTGTGTTCACGGCAGGTACTTTGTAAAAGCCCTGACACCAGCATTTTTGGTCTGTGTAGGATCTTCTCCTTTTTGCAAGAATTATCTCCGGGGGAGAAAGGTGTACCAGATACGATGACTGAGCCAGGGCCCCTGGATCTCCTCCCTCACCCTCCTCTGCTGGGAACCTAGCACACCTGAATCAGCTGGACATACTGCTGGAGTCCGGTGCTTTATTTCTGTCACCCTGGGGATAGTCCTTCCTAGCATCATGGTAGGGGAGGAGCCGCTGGATTCCCCAGACTGCAGCCTCTCTGGCTGGTCTTCACTTTCCTCAGTTGATGTAAAACTCTGTGCCTTGGCCATGATGTCCTTGGACTCCATCTCTCAAGGGACCATCTGCCGCAGTTACCACAGCAACTGACCTGAGCCAGCACCCTGGTCTGTGGAGATGGACTTAGGATCCAGTGACATGATTCTGAACTTCTGTGGAGTTTGACACCTTAGAGAAGCTACCCCTCAAACTGCACATATACACACAAACAATGCATAGAATTCCAAGGCTTTAAAGCTGAGAGACCCTGGCCTCGAGTTACTTCACGAGCACAGAGGGGAGCCATGTGGGGTTGCTGCAGATGCCTTGAGGTGAAATGAGGGCAGGAAAGCCACATCTTGCTCAGCATTTATATTTTTTTTTTTTTTTTGAGACGGAGTCTCGCTGTGTCGCCCAGGCTGGAGTGCAGTGGCCGGATCTCAGCTCACTGCAAGCTCCGCCTCCCGGGTTTGCGCCATTCTCCTGCCTCAGCCTCCCGAGTAGCTGGGACTACAGGCGCCCGCCACCTCGCCCGGCTAGTTTTTTTTATATTTTTAGTAGAGACGGGGTTTCACCATGTTAGCCAGGATGGTCTCGATCTGCTGACCTTGTGATCCGCCCGTCTCGGCCTCCCAAAGTGCTGGGATTACAGGCTTGAGCCACCGCGCCCGGCGCTCAGCATTTATAAAGACCATGTAAACTGAGATCCTTGGTACCCTAAAAAGATTGCCAGTTTTCTTCATCTTTGTCATATGGAGGACTGTGACAGACTTGGACAGTGGCCTCTGAGTTCTTCTGCAGTTTTAACATTTTAGGATTTTGTCTTTTAAACTGGAAAACTTTCTAGCATGTTGGGTGGTATAGGGTATATTTTTGTCTGCAGCTGTTTGTTGCCCCATTCCTAAGAGGAGTTTATCCATCCTTACCTGTAGCTGTGTGACTTCCTGCAGTGCCCCCACCCCATCCCCCCAGGAGAGTGTATTTCCCTGCTTCCGATGCAGAGGGATATTCGCAGGCATGAGCTGTCCTGTGTCTGACAGAAGCCTGAAGAGTCATGTGTGGTTGGCCCATGCTCTTCCCTCTGCCGTGAGAACACGTTTCCCACAGAGGAGCCATTCCATGGAGCTGAGCTACAGCAGCTGGCCTGCAGCCACTGAGTGTCACAGGAATGAGAGAGCAGTGTTTGCTGTAGTAAGCAGTGAGATTTGGGGGTTGGTTGTTACTATAGCAGAGCTAATGCATCAGTAAACTGAAACCAGCTGCTGTCCTTAAAGTGGACTGATTTGAGGCTGGGTGCGGTGGCTCATGCCTGTAATCCCAACACTTTGGGAGGTGGAGGCAGGTGGATCATCTGAGGTCAGGAGTTAGAGACCAGCCTGGCCAACATAGCAAACCCCATCTCTACTAAAATACAAAAATTAGCCAGGTGTGGTGGCAGGCGTCTGTAATCCCAGGCGTCTGTAATCCCAGCTGCTCGGGAGGCTGAGGCAGGAGAATCACTTGAACCCAGGAGGCAGAGGTTGCAGTGAGCTGAGATCGCGCCATTGCACTCCAGCCTGGGTGACAAGAGCAAAACTCTGTCTCAAAAACAAACAAACAAAAAAGTGGACTAATTTGAAGTTTTGCATAGTGTGCCTCACTGTTTTTGAAAGGAAATTGGCTGTGGAATATTTACAAAGAACCATGCAGCTTCCAGGTGCCGGTCCCTGTCTGTGGCTTGTGGCCAGGAAGCTGAAGTTCAGCCTCCTTCCTATGCCTGGTTTTGGCCACTTAAGTAAGGACCTGGGGACCACTTGAGGGCCTGGTTTTGGTAACTTAAGGGCCTGAGGACCAGGAGGCTGATGGACATGAGGTCCTCTGTGCACTCTGTGCTATTAGACCTAGGAGAGACTGAGAAAGTAATTTTAGGGATTGTTAGCACATAGGGATGGGAAAAGGAGAGAGCTCTGCCCCTGCTGAGACCTGATCCTGTATTCAAGTGCTATTAGCCACATGGGAACCTGGAATCTTGACCCTGCCCTGACCCATCATGGGGGTCACCTGACATTCCTTCTCTCTGAACATCTGTCAAATGGAGAGGGGACATGAAGGACTGAATGTTTGCTGTGTTCTTTCTGCAACCCTTTTTCATCCCCATCCCTGACATGGGAAACAGAGCCTGGCCCCTTATGGCCAAGACCTAGTGGGCAGTTCTTGCAGAAAAGCCAGAGGGGATGGGGCCTGGGACACCACTGTGTTGTGGATACGTGAGGTCCATGGTATGTCTACAGCTAGGGAGAAGCCTTTGTGGTTAAAAATGGGCCTACTGTGAACCCTAGGTCAGTTGGGAAAGTGGATGCCAGCCTCCTCACTGACCTCAAGTAGACAAGCAGTTTACATGGCCCAGCTGTGTGGCCTGGAGCAAGCTCTGTCGCATTATGTGCGTCTACCCTGGCTGTGTTACAGAGAGGGTTGGAGAGATCCCTGAGACCCCCTGCAATTCTGCATTCTGGGTTTAGGAACCTTGAATGTAGATTTGAGGCCTTTTCAGCATAGCAGGCTTGCCAAGGGAGCCCCCTCCCCCAGCAGGGCCAGAGGCTCACTTGGGAGACAGCCATGTGGGACCAGAGTGTGGAGAGGTGCATGGCCAGGTAGTACAGGCTCAGGCCGTTACAGGTGCAGCCCAGGTTGCAGAGAGGAGAGGCGATGGTAGTGGGATCCAGCTGCAGAGTTCCTGGTAGCAAGGCTTGGTAACGAGTGTAGGACTTCCTGGAGAAGGGGCCAATGTTGTGGCCCAGGCCATAGCTCTATTCATTGAGATGCATGTCACCCATGATGTCTGATGTTATCTGCCCAAACCACTGGGCACTCAACATGGCCATGGCCACACACACAAACAAGATGACCGGTGAAAGCATGACAGGAGAGAAAAGGTTAGAGCACGATCCTCCTGCTGTGGTCTCCCACCATGACAGGCACCTTGGGTGAGTTTTGTAACCTCTCTGAGCCCCAGAATCTTTTGCCAAATGACGTTAATAATAATAGCTGCACTCGGTGTTACTGACAGTGAAATGCTCCTGTCTGTCCTCCATCAGGAAGCACAGGGAGCAGCAACTCAAGACACTGCAAGTGAAAAGGCTTTGCCGCAGGCTGCAGGGCATGATTCCGTAAGATGGCCTCCTTGCCCTGTTGATGACCGCTGGAATCAGGGACACCTCCAGTCCATCGGGTACCAACGGTACTCTAACTCTTGGGCAGAACTGCCTCCCCACCTGCTGCTGTGGAGGTTGTTGGATATTTCCGGCCACACCAGGCTGGGGAGATCTGTTTGCTTCTGTCATTTGGTCACAAGCCTCACTGAGGCTGGCCCTGGGTCAGCTCCCAACCTGGGCCCTACCCTTGAGGAGCTCCCAGGCCATCAGGGAGAGTGATTTGGAAACTAACCAGTATGAAATGAGGGTGCACAAATGGGGCCCAAGCAGAATGATTTAGCTGAGCAGAGGTAGGAGTGACTGATCCTGATGGGATGTGGGGGAGCTTAGAAAAGGCTTCCCAGAGGTGACCCGAACTGGAGCTCAGGGATGAAGAGGCCCAAGCTGAGCATTCCTGGCAGAGGGCTTCGCACAGGCAAGGACATGGAAGCCTTTCCTTGACCCTCTGCCCTCCCCAGGTGTGGCTCCCCACATCTACATGCACTCGCAGGACTTCCTACCCCTTTGCCCCACCAGACTGAGCTCCTTGAGGACCAGGCCTGCATCTGGTGCCTGTACTCCCAGTACACCTCAGAGCCGGGCACAGAGGTGCTCCAAGAATGTGGTGGTGCCTCACTGGCATGTTTGAGGACTAGTGAGTGTGATAATGCTGGAGCAAAGAAGAGATGGGCCAGTGGCAGGAGCTGTAGCCTTCCTTGATCGTGGGCCCAGGTGTTTGTCCCATACACCCTGGGCAGCCATGGATGCATTTGGCTCAGGGAGTGGTATGTCCAAAGGTGTTTTCCAAAGCTCTGTCTGGCAGCCAGAGTACATGCAGGGCCAGGAGGGCGAAGGGCCTGCATACCTGGGTGGCCTCCTCGTCGAGCTCCCTTGGCTGGCACATGACAAAACATTAGGTTGCAGAAGGCTCACAGAGCCGATGTGGAAGCAGAAGGGGAAGAGCCTGCTCCGGAGGTGAGTTCGCCAAGGTAAGCTGCTTTCCCAAAAAGGCCGTGGGACATGGTGCATGCAGGATCAGTGGCTAGAAGTGACTGGTGGGCCCAGGGCCCCTCTTTACCCTCCCCCCAGGGCCCACCGACATCCGGGATCTGTGGATGTTGACACTCTAAGGCAGTTGGAATATAATAGTTCACAAACTCTCAAACCCAAAGGCCAGGGTTCAAAGCCCAGTTCTGCCACTTAATAGCTGTGTGACTCTGGGCAAGTTTCGTAACCACCTTGTGCCTCAGTTTCCTTATATATAAGGAAATTTAATAATATATTTTCAGAGGATTGTTCTGAGGATTAAATGGCTGGCACCTGGCACACAGTAGGTGCTTAGTAAGCATTAGTTGTTACGGGTACCAGGCACTCTATTGCAGGGGTCCCCAACCCCTGGGCCGTGGACTGGTACCAGTTCATGTCCTGTTAGGAACCAGGCCGCACAGCAGTTGAGTGGTGGGCAGAAAAGCATTACCGCCCGAGCTCCACCTCCTTTCAGGTCAGTGGCGTCATTAAATTCTCATAGGAGCACAAACCCTGTTGTGAAGTGCACACACACGGGATCTAGGTTGCGCACTGCTTATGAGAATCTAATGCCTGATGATCTGAGGTGAAACGGTTTCATCCCAAAACCATCTTCCTCCCCTGTCCTGTGGAAAAATGGTCTTCTACCAAACTGATCCCTGGTGCCAAAAAGGTTGAGGACCGCTGCTCTATAGGACAACTCTTTGCCTAGGACAATTCTCCCCTGACTTGACCCCAGATGAGGAACTGCCATGGCTCTAAGGCCCCATGAAGGGGGGCCCTCTCCACAAGTGGACTCAGCCCTCAGAGGCATCTCCCGAAATCCTGGATTCCAGAGGCATAGTCAGACTGAAAAGGATCCTGCCTCTTTTATTTTTATTTTAAAAAATTTTAGAAAGATTTTTTTTATAATGATGAAGTCTTGCTCTGTTGCCCAGGCTGGTCTCAAACTCCTAGTCTCAAGTGATCCTCCCACCTCAGCCTCCCAAGGCGTTGGGGTTACAGGCGTGAGCCACTAACCTGTACTTCCCTGTTTTAGAGTGTCCTGGATAGAAGGCAGGAGCCCTAGGACCTGCTGACAGGGCCAGCGCCCAGGGACTGCCTAATCCTAGCAAGTCCCTGCCCTCCCTGGGTCTTGGTTTTTCTATCTAAAAAATGGGAACAATA